TTTTAATTTTACATATCTTATTATTCATGTTATTGCCAGAATTTGTAAATAAGAGACCTTTTTGGAATAAAGTTATTATTATTATTATTATTATTATTATTATTATTATTATTATTATTATTATTATTTTTATTTTTATTATTATTATGGTATCTTTATTTGAGAGCTTCCATAAATATTTTTACAAAATACATTGCAAATGTAGGACAATCACTATAGCAAAAAGATTATGGTTGATAGTTAATATATGATAAGATTATAGCAGACAGTGAAGGTTAACGATAAGAATTAAACTGCAAAGGTATTCGACGGCATATTTTACTTTCATATATAGTTACGTCATAGTCACAATATTCATYGGAGATACAATTTTTATCTTGTATTGTGAATCTTTTGCTAAGCTAGCCCGCATTATTTTATCCTCTCTTTCTCCATGTTATTATGTAATAGTCTTATCATTAGTATCCTCAAAAGTGTTGAGTAAAGAACATGAGAAAGAAAGCTCATTGACAACTGTTTTGATTAAGAGGTTGAGTTAAGTGTGACTTAACGCTGAGTTAACATTGAGTTACCCAAAAAATAAAATTCCAGCGAATTTTAATACATTTTATATAACAGATAATTTCTGTTTTATACTCCTAAATTCTATAATTGTATAATAAATAAATGTACAAATTATAATTTTTCTAGTGTCAACACCCACAACTGCTGCCCCGACAGCTACTGCAACAAGTAAGTTACATGCACATCGTTTACTTCAATACTGCTGAAGCTAGTATAATGATTTATATATTTCGGAGTGTCTAAACGTCAGGCAGTCGAATTTTTTCTTAAAAAATCGCCGAAACAACCGTAATTTCAATTAATACAACAAGGGGAATGCAATGAAGACCGAAATAATACTGTTCGACGAGTTTCAAACACAAGCACGGCATTTTGAGATTTTTCGATTTCCTGACGTTTAGTCCCAGAACGAAACATCAGGCAATCGATTTTTTTGTGAAAAATCGTCGGTTCAATCGTAATTTCAATTATATTAATACAACAAGGGAATGCACTAAAGACCGAAATAATACTATTGACAAGTTTGTATAGTCACAAGCCCCGGTCACAAGCACGGCACTTTGAGATTTTTCGACTGCCTGACGTTTAGTCCCAGAACTAAACGTCAGGCAGTTGACTTTTTTGTGAAAAGTCGTCGGAACAACTTTAATTTCAATTAATAGCACAAGATAAATGGAATAAAGACCGAAATAAGGTCTTGGGCAAACATTAGCAGGGGGAGGGCGTGGAAGTTGAAAAGTGGGCACTGGGAATAGGGTGACCAACCATAGTGGGGAAGTGAAATTTTCTACTGATATTAGACGGGCCGTGATCCTCCCCGTCCCCCTTCAACCATTACCAGAATAATTTTTCATTGCCCCAAAGCATCCAGTGAATGGTGCAGTGCCTATAATTGGACGATTCTTTCTTCATTTTGAAGGGATAAGGGTTATGATATTTGATAAGCAGTTGACATTTAATGCATCTATTGTTCACTTTATACATCATGGCCAGAAAATCCGGACATATGAGTCGTAATCGCAGCGGTACTTCGCATAAGAGCACAAAAACATGTTTTGTTAATTTTAAAAAGAAATGTACGGATCAAAAAAATCATTTGAGAATAACATTTCATCTGTTTTAACTGGAAAGATTTCAAAGATGAATTCCTAGAGGGAAACTATTCTCGATTCCACTGTAGGAGATCCAAATAAATCCAATATTGTTTAGAGCTTCCTTTTTGACAATTATTTATTTTCCTTTCGTCGTCTCCCTTTGCCCTTGTATCTCATGGTAAAAATCGGCGAAGAAGCGAAATTTTACCGTAGCTGATCGTGTTCCTTTACATGTCACTGATATTTCAAAGATCATTTCTCAAAGTCCACATATTGAGGTAGAAACACAGCGATTTTCAGCTATTTTGAAGACAATAGACAGCGTCCTTTTTGCTACTAGAAATCGTACAATTTGAAAACACTAACATGACGGTGAAATGGCTGGCGAAGACTCCTGTTTCACGCGAATAACTGGCCTCGATCTTCCATTTATTTTTTCATTTTTTTCGCCATGTTTGGTACCAAAATAAACCTTAGAAACGTGGCTTTCAGACTGGGACTGCTTCAATTTTGGCGGTTTTTACTGGCGCCTTGCGCGCATTGGTAAATAGCGGGAAATACGAACGAAAGATCAAGTCTACACTATTTAGTGTAAACAATGTCAGACCTTTTAAATTCCTTAGAAATGTACAAGTATAAACAAAAGATCACAATATCAACTGATGATCATTGTTTAAAATTTCTGAGGGAAACGTGTGTTCCAGCAAATAATATTATTTACACTATGAACATTCCAAACGAGCACCTCACAAGCCACTAATGAACTCGAGGATCAGGGCGTGCTATCCCAATACTCGTTTGTCGATGTTTTGAACGTTTCGATTTCAGCCCAGTATTGTATTAAGATAAAGTATCGTTGCACAAGAGTAGAAAATTTGATCTTCAAAAGTTCAAACCTCAAGGGAACTTGTAGAAAGCTCTATTTTGGTGGGAAAACCCGCTGACTCCTCCCGGGCTCAAATGTCCGGAATTTCTGGCCATGTTGATATACTTTGTTTGTCTTTGTTGTTGTGGCTATTGAACCAAATAAAACACTTTTTTTGTATCTGTTTATACTGTGAACCAATTATTTTTATCATTAACTGCCAATCAAATATCCTAATAATTATCCCTTCAAAATGAAGAAACAATGGTCTAATCAGTTATCAAATCTAAGGTATTAAAGAGAATTGGGTTTATTTAACCTCTAAATAGAGAAACGTGTGTTTCTTTGCTCCAGTGTAATGCTCGTACAAATAAACCAAGTTGTTGAGTCGTCATTTTCAACGGTGTCGCGTAAATGTTTTCCATAAATATGAATTTAAAAGCCATAAGATTTCATCAAAAGACACTTGAAAGTAATATATGTTATTAGAGTAGATTGATATACCTTTCATATCTTTCTTCAAGGCGTTTTATTTTCTGTGCGAAATGACTATCCATCGATATAAGAATTGTGCGAACGATTCGAAACTTCGGGCGAAACGACTTGTGCAAACGGTCATTTGTGCGAAATAACCTGATACCCCTTCGAAATAATGAAGGTAAAAAAAAAATTGTATACAGTTTTCTGTGATATGTGAAGTTCGAGTAGTCCGGGTTCAAACATCGATTATTGAAACAATGTTGATTATTGTAAGCTTACATGTAGACTACTTTTTGCCGAGAAGCTTTCAGTTTACTTTTAATTATAATTTTAAACTTCATCCAACGGAACAAAATCTACCGAAGTCAATATTAGTACGAACTAAATTCTCATAAACATACTTTTTATATTGTTCGCATGTCAACAAAACTGTTGTAACTCACATTCCTTAGAACAGTGCATCTACCTTAAATTTGAAATAGCAGTACTAAATAATCATTTTCAGCTTCTATATTGCTATTGGAGCTCCACTATTAGGTGTTACCTAATTTTTATATTTAGCTGGTATTCGTTTGCACAAGTCGTTTCGCCCGAAGTTTCATGAGATACAAGGGCAAAGGGAGACGACGAAAGGAAAATAAATTGTCAAAAAGGAAGCTCTAAACAATATTGGATTTATTTGGATCTCCTACAGTGGAATCGAGAATAGTTTCCCTCTAGGAATTCATCTTTGAAATCTTTCCAGTTAAAACAGATGAAATGTTATTCTCAAATGATTTTTTTGATCCGTACATTTCTTTTTAAAATTAACAGAACATGTTTTTGTGCTTTTATGCGAAGTACCGCTGCGATTACGACTCATATGTCCGGATTTTCTGGCCATGATGTATAAAGTGAACAATAGATGCATTAAATGTCAACTGCTTATCAAATATCATAACCCTTATCCCTTCAAAATGAAGAAAGAATCGTCCAATTATAGGCACTGCACCATTCACTGGTCAAGGATGCTTTGGGGCAATGAAAAACTAGACGATCATGGATCGCTTACGTGGGCTTCCTGTGACAATGGTGTTTCATTTTCACAACATTGTCTTTGTTTGTAATAAGTCAAGACAGAATTAAGTTAATATGTTATCAACTTATTACATCATTTTTTACCGAACTGAACTCTAAGTAAATTGGATACCATATCTTTCTCAGTTTTCCAAAATAACTAGCTCGACTTTACGCTCAAGAGCGTCTATATTATTCGAAATATCTGATAGGTCATATAGGTCACATAAACAATAGAAACGGTACTGTCTTGGCAGTATAACTTTGAATAATATTTTGATCATTTTAATCATGTATCTGTATCTTGTGTTTCTGTTCTTTTTTATTTTGTGTTTATCATTAATTTGTAAATCTGGCGTTCTGTGCCATCATAAAGATGTACCTTAGCCTTCTAATTACAGTTCATATTTTTGGATTTGTCTAAGTTTTTCAAGTTTAACAATCATCAAAACAAACAATAGAGAATTAAAATGCTTCATACACAATATAAGTTATATTTTGTATTTCAGTAAAGCTCACACGTGCAGTTTTCCGAACTTCAAACACATCGTTAGTTTAGAAAATGGCATCAATATTTTTCAGATGAGGTTTGATATGCTTTCTTCCATCGAATGATTGTTTTCTGTCAAAGTATGAACCTTAAATATCCATGTGATTTCTTATTTTTGAAGATTTTGTGTTTGACATCGAACACTTGTGTGTCGAAGAAGTAGTGCTCTTCGAGTCGGCGGTAGAAAATGCCCAGTCATTTCTGCACGAATCATCCGCTAATCTTGAATTATATACCTCAATCCATGTCGTTTGGATGGTAATCAGTTGATTTTGTAAGATTTTCAGCTCTTTAGAGCATTTTAGCTACATTAGAACCATTTGAAATGAGACAACTTTTTGCCGCCGTCTGTCAGCCATTTTGTTTTCATTCTGAGACTGCAGTCCATCTGCAACGCAGGCGCTACCAAAAATCGCTGATTGGTTTATTTTGACATCTCCATGGAAACTGAGACTGCAACGCATGCGCTATCGATGCGCTACCAATTTGAAGCGTAATATTCACCACGACGAAATCGCCAGTTGCATTTTAAGACGTGGACTTCCACAGGAAGCCCACGTAATTATTCTGGTAATGGTTGAAGGGGGACGGGGAGGGTCACGATATTTTTGTGTTAAATAACATCAGCAACACATGAGATTAAGGTAAAATGTATTTTATTAAAAAAAAAAAACAATTTTGAACCAAATGCTTTGCTTGGGTTGCCTGTGGTCTAAATAATCATGTTTGCAAGTTACTTCTCGCGAAAAAAAGCCACATTTAGTTACGTACAATACCCTCCCCTCCCCCCAAACTTTAGCTTAGGGTTAGTTTCAGCCTTATGCACTAGGGTTAGGGTTCCTATAACCTAAGACAGGGTCTAGGGTTCCTTGATTTAGGRTTAGGGTTAGAAGGGCTAGGGTTTAGCGTAGGTTATGGTTAACGTTAGCTAAGGGTTAGGCTCTAAAATCTGAGTTTTGAAAGCAAACAACACCCCCCCCCCCCCCCTCTCCTCCTCCATACTGATGTCATTTTTTAAACGATGTGTTTGAACTCATGCACGTGTGAATTACTGAACTCAAAAATCTATTTTGTGTAAGAAGATTTGTTTTGGTGATTGTTTAACTTGAACAACATACACAAATCCAAAAATATGAACTGTTTGATACGATACTGACAAAACTGCAAAGACTGTACCGTTTGTATTGTTTATATGAACTTTCAGATATTTTGCATATTTTGAATAATAAAGACGCTCTTAGAGCGTAAAGTCGAGCTAGTTATTTTGGAAAACTCAGAAAGACATGATATCTAAAGAAGTTACTTGAGTTCAGTTCGGTAAAAAATTATGATGTCATAAATAACTTATATAACTTAATTCTGTCTTGACTTATTACAAACAAAGACTGTATCGTGAAAATGAAATACCATTGTCGGAGCTACAGGAAGCCCACGTAAGCGATCCATGATCGTTTAGTTTTGACATTGAAAAGCCAGTCAAGTGACAGTTGAAGTCACAAAAACTAAGCGATAAAAGGGCAGTTGTGACGCTAATTCTCACCTACAGTGACTAAAAAAGCACTATTTCGTTGTCTTTGTTTACTACAAAATTTCAGATTTCAACAAGTGAATAACTGTTTGTACCAAAATTCAGTCCTACGTCTGTCATTTAAGCGTTATATTTTTCAAATTTTCCATAAACATCTCATCAAGCTACGGCTTTCTCTTTGGATACTGATTCAGAATACGTGTTTTAACCAGATTTTTGCGCGCAATGAAATCTGGGACTTTTTTGCATGCCGCAACAGCGTAAACAGTGATTTTTTTTCAATTTTTCGAAAATTTCAAAAATACCCTGAATCATCACTTAAGCCGTTCTCACATCCGCGCCTTCAATTCAAAATGAGTTTTCTGTACATATTATATATTATATATCACTGCTTTGCATAGACAAAGCTAAAGAGGAAAAGTTTAATTTTGATGAAAGTTTTTTGTTAGCAAAAATAAATTAGTCTTAACGAAACATGTTTAAGTCTGACCAATGTGCCTTGCATCCCATTTTTATCCAACATGCATATCTTTTGGGAGCTCCGCTATTAGGTTTTACCTAATTTTTATATTAGAACGAAGTATACAATATAACCCGTAGCCGGCTACATGGCTACACCGGCTACGGGTCAAAATGAATCATTGAGCAAAATGTATGTTTTAAGCGTTAAGTAAATGTTTGCGCTTTTGCGACGTTTTATAAAGAAGAAAGAAATCCTCTGTATTGTTCTTAGTAACAATAGATCACTGATCGCGAAGGTGTTAGTTTGAATAAATTATTGGTGTTGTAAAGTATAATATCTGTGAAGCTATTGTGTGTTAATGATCGAGAGGAGTGTATTGTTATTTGACTATAAAAGTTATGTAAGAACGCTTTCGCTAAGTTGTATGCTCAAAGTTAATATTGGAGGTCATATTACAGTCAGTGTAAAAAGAATTGTAATAAGAAGTATCTATCGAAAATAGAATGTGTATAAAGTCATTCATAAAAGAATTGTGCAGGTTGGATTGTGTCAAAACAGCAAGCGAAAGCGCTGTTGACTGAAGTATTATAATACGGTTGGTAATCTGAAACTGTTAGTATTTGCTTACATTTCATCCTACTTTATTAATTCCTGTATCATAAAATAGTACTATTTAGAATGTCCAAGAATATTATTGAGTAATAGAGATAAGAAAGTTGTTTAAATACATATTTCGGTATCCCTGTGTATCTGACCCGTAGCCGTAGCCGCGGCTACAGGTGAGGGTTTGAGTGGCGGGGTATTCGATAGTTGTACCCTGTCCCAAACTTGACAGTTAGATCAGCACTGAACAAGCGGCACACGAGACTTACTGCACTTAAGTAATGATCCGCCTAAGAAGTAGGCAAAAGAACAATAGGTCGCGGCAATATCAGCCGTTAAGCAGTCCGTGCTAATCCAATTACAGAACCGAATGTGATTGGTGTATTTGCTCAAAAGCGCCAAATTTGAATTTCGTTAAAACTTTTGTAGGATTTCCAGGGAATTAAACAAGAAAAAGCAAGGACATATCACTAATGTTGTTATTGAATTTTTTGTTCTGAGAATTCGTAAAAAATTCTATGCGCCATTGAGGAGAAATTTACTTCCAACTCCAGTAACAATGTTGCAGTTTGTCAGAAGTCGCATTACACAAAAGAAATGTCAAAATCTGAGAAACTACAGACACCAATTATTGATCATCGTAAAATCTAATAAAATCAGCCAAAACAATGTTTAGAATTAAGTAATTATACCCAATGTACAGCCTTTTGCACAAATTATGAGACATTTTTATATATATAAATATACCTAAACCAAATATCAAAAACACCCCAGAAATTATGGTATATCTCTATTATATTTTGTCATGATTGCCTAGCATCAGGTTGTTACAGACAAAATATCAGCGACGGTATCCCATAATTTCTTGCCGGGTGTTTTTGATATTTGGTTAGGTACAGCCTTTTGCAAAAATTATGAGAATTGTTGAAATATCTAAATATCATAATATCAAGTGCATGATCCCGCACGATGCCCTTAGTCCCTTGTCTTTGTAGTTTAGTTTTTTTTGGCGACGGACTTATCCGTAGTTCTGAACATTTTCTCGATGTCAACAATGAATTATTCTAGCAAACCCGCGTGTTCCAGACAATATGTGGATATGGATATTATGATATTTAGATATTTAGACAATTCTCATAATTTTTGCAAAAGGCTGTATATTTATATATATAAAAATGTCTCATAATTTGTGCAAAAGGCTGTATTCAATACAATAACGATATTATAAAATAATTTTGCATTCCCTAAGAAAAAAAGCTCATAATCTACATGTAGCTTGCGCCAAGTTGAAATACTATGAAGCTGAAGGCTTTCTGAAGGCTTTCTGAAGTATTCAGAGGAATAGCCAAGTCCGATTAGTCAACTTCCTCTTGACTGTAAGTACTCTCATTGATTTTGACGCTGCTAAACGATACACAAACTCCCAGAACGCAGACTGCATTGCACAGTCTCCACGTCACTAGGAGTAGATATTCCGTTACTTAAAAGAAGTTTTTATGGTGGTTACAAGGGTGTCAGGTATAATTTCATCCCCAATCTTTTCAGGTAATCTCGCCCCCTTCAAGGTAATCTCATTGCTTTATCAAAAGTATTCTCGCCCAAGTAAACATTCCATGTTCAACGTAAGATCGTGCTTAATCTTTGTTTTTCGTTGGAAGTATTAACAAATTATAATTGATTGCAAAGATTAATGTCAAAATAACGAGTAGAATGACAACGATAATATTAGACTCGTTCAGCTTCTAAACACTTCACACTAATGTCGTGTTGCTAATGTCGTGTTTCATATTTTATAGGTCGAGAGATCTTTCTTTAACTTCCATCTATCTAGTATCTATCTATCTATCTATCTACCTATCTATCTATCTATCTATCTATCTATCTTAGATAGATAGATAGCCTTCGGCTAGTCCGACTAATAATTACGTCATAGTATGACTATGTTACAAATATATTATACATACATATATAATTATACAAATAAATTCTGCAGTCTGCAGTAGTGTCAGACACTGGCGACGATCAACTGATCTGATTATAAACAAACATGTTTCTTTTCAGTTTGTGCCGAAATTATTGAGTCTGAACTCAATGTCGAGATATCTTTCTTTTAACTTTCAACATACATACAGACTGTATGTTTCTATTATCAATTGTTACGAATCATATGAAACATACACAATTTGTGTAAAATGCCGTTGTTTTATTTTTGTGTTTATCCCGGTGTTACCAAGCGACGATCAAGTGATCCAGCAGCCTCAGATTAATAACATAAAACCTTTCATTCTTCTAAGTTGTTTCTTTTCAGTTCGTGAAGAAATTATTGAGTCTTGACTGAATTCAAATCTTTATTATGAATGCATGTTCTAATTTGCAGGGAAAAGTTTGTAAGAAGTTCACAGCCGCCGTATTTTCTCCCCAGTTTCAACATCACCTTGTTCACCTCATGCAAACTCTTAAATTTCTCTTCCCTTTTGTTCCAATGAAATACTAAACAGTTTAAAACCTGAAAGACTTTACTACAATGCCTTCTTGCAGGCAGTGTTTCAGTTTTCTTGTTTTGTTACTACGCGACGGACACAATTGTTGATATTAATCTCAAAGTTTTTCAATAACCTAAAGTTGTGTACTATTGTGAAATTCCACAAAATTGTACGTCTAATTAAACAATTTACGATTTTCTTCAAATTTACTGCAAAACATTCAATGAATATATTCAATGCACTCTACATAATATGACAAATTGCAATCATGTGGCAATGATAATAATGCATTAGTCTTATTTTCATGTTATATTAAACTACAGAAACCTATAAGGAACTCAAAACGTGTAGCGCCATGCCATCCGTTGGAATATTCAAATCTAATTTGCATCTCATTCTCTCAGCAGTAGAATTTTCCAAATATGGTCATAATGTTTGTTTTCGAATTTTTAATGAGCTTTATTTAATATTTCAATGCTTGGTACTAAAGAAATGTATGGGCACTACACGTTTCAAGTCCCTTACAGGTTTCTGATTATTCTAAATATTGTATCATTATTTTATTTATTAGTTAACACAGGCTCAACTTCCTCGACAGCCCCAAGCAGCAGTAATACCACAGGCAGCACAACCAAATGTAAGTGTTTATAAATTGTTCCATTACTATAGTTACAAGGAGGGTGGGAGAAAGCGGATGTCAGAAATTTAGAAAAATACCCCTAAAAGGTACCAGGCTATTACAAAAAAGGGTATGGCAACAATATCTTCGCTGATGCCATTAAGATGAAATGCTTATTAGCTGCATAAGCACATGTAAAAACTCTTCTATTGTTGAAGGTTTATAATAGCTTAGAATAGAATAGAACAATACTTTATCTAAAGAGCAAGTGATACTAAATATCTAAAAGCTAAAAACCTGTGGCCCTCAAAATGATATAAATTTACAAAAATAATATTTAATGATATTATTTTTCTCAGAGTAACTAGACATGTTGATTTGAATATTATGAAAAACTTCTCCTTTATGCATAGGTTGTATCACTTCGTGGCATTAGAGTAGGATCTTGCATGTGCGATGATTTTTCATTGTAGTGTAAATTCAGTGTTGCTGTTCTTTAGATGCCAGATATGTTTGCTCAGCTCTGTGGAGTTTTTCTTGCTTGGGTCACGCATCAAAGCCATGTGATTTTGATATCGAGGTTTGAACTTTTCTGTTAGTCCTACATAGGTCTCCTTGCTTTCACCGGTTGACACTGTGGCTTGGTAGATGACATTTCCTACAAGGCATTTTCCATTTACTCGAAGGCAGGTGGCTTCATGGACCGCGGAGCAGGGGGGGGCTGGGGGGCTACAGCCCCCCCAATAATTTTTCCGACATTTTGAATTTTCTTAAATAAAGAAGCAAAGAGCCTCCTTATGAAATTTCACCATATATATTCTATAAAAATTGTGTAAAAACTGAGCGTGAACATTTAAGCTGTTTTGGGAAGTCTTTGTGATTTATTGATAATATCGCTGACCGTGTGTGCAGTAAAAATTGATAACGCCTCAAAACGCTGGAAATGACATTTCCGAGAGTTAAGATTTCCGAACCCCCCTAATCCCCTAATCCCTCCTCGCCGCTAGCCCCCCCAGACAAATTCACACTCCGCGGTCCCTGGGATTTGTCTCTGCAGTTGCATAATGTGGCCTGTTGTTGTTTTGGGCTTTCAAGTATGGCTTTGTTATGCATACTTATTTTCGCCCTCAAACTGGGCATACATGAATAGCTTACTTTCAGGGTGTTTTTGTTGAAGATTTTTCTTAATGGATGGCCGGTCATCATTGAGCCTCTTATTAATAGCTGCAGATAGATTCTTTATAATACATGTAGGAAGAAAAGCCACGAAGTGATACAACCTATGCATAAAGGAGAAGTTTTTCATAATATTCAAATTAACAAGGTGAATACCGGTCATCTCGCCCCCACCATCTCGCCCCCACTTTTCCATCTCGCCCCCACCATCTCGCCCCTACTTTGCCATCTCGCCCCACCATCTCGCCCCAATATTATATATACGAAGATTTCTGTTGAAATTCACGTAATAATAAGAATTTCGGCTGTCAATTGTGTATAAGTTTCGACGTGACTTGGACGTGAGCGGTCACGATTATGCCTGACTACGACCAACGATAATAATTCACTTTTGATATTCAATTCCATTTCTCTTGAGTTGTTTGCAGTGAAACTCTAAAAGAAATCACCATGTACGTGTATTTGAAGTTAATTTACAAGTATGTCAAGTATTTCTATCAATTCAGATAATCAAATGAACATGATGTCAGTCGTGATGATACAACCTAGTAAGACCAATAAGCCGCCATTTTCAAATTTCTTCGATAAGCCGCTCGATGATGTCCCCCTCGATCGGACTCTCGATACGAATAAAGTAACACAACATGCATTTTAAACGTTTATCGCAATGAAGATGTTTGCTTCTTTTGTGGATTTTAAGAAAGCAAATCCAATATAGCTCGTGACTGGTTACACTCAATATAGACCGTGACCGGTTTACCCTGGGTTTACCAGTCATTTTGTTTATGACTATTATGCTAATGTCAAACTTTCCACTCTTCGTAAGTTTGAAGCAGGCTGTATTTAAAGAAACTTGAAAAAGTATTTCGATCATATCAAAAAGTAAATCGAACTTTTATGTGGCACACGTTGCGCGTTGGGGAAAACATAACAGTAAAAAGTCCTTCTTTATACACCGCTATGTTTATTGTTGATTGTTATGATAATTATGCTAATTTCCGTCTTGCGAACCAAAGCGCCATTTTAGGTGGACACGAAAATGGCGGATTTGTAGGATTTCTTAAAGTGAGCGCAAATCGTCTTCCGTCCTTTCAGTTTGGACAGAAATACCTTTAACTAAATACCTCACAGGTACTATCAATCTATAATTTATTGTATGCTTGACGCATTTAAACGTATGTAAACAATAATACGAGCGCGCAAGGTACGACGGGTGGTTATGATTCTTTAAAGTGACAATGGAAAAGCGCATATTTAACATGTAGGTCATTCGAGGATTGAAATTGAATCTGTACTATATTCTTTCAAGTACTGAAAGAAAATACTGGTTTATATTGTCTAACAGATTTTGAATGAGCAATTCCATTACACATTTTCATGTGTGATATGTTGGATGTTGGTTGTTATGACAACTATGTTAACATGAAAATCAAAAGTCTATCTTTTCTATTTACAAGATAGACTAAAGTCTTTAGTATTTATTCATTGTCTAATTCGTAATAGATGCGGTTAAAGTAACTTTTCCTAAACAATACTGTTTGTCAATCCCGGCAACAGTGCATTGTGAATTTTCATGAAAAGACCGAAGAAGTAAAAACGGTCCGCCTTCAAATCCGTCTTGTAAAGGCTGAAAAACTAAGAAGAATCCACCGTCGAAAGTACAGAGAAGTCCAAGCCAAAATCTTCGATCTGTGGGAAAGGTACGAGGCAGGAGAGCTTACATCGAAGCAGCTACTGAAAGCCGTCAGCAAATTGTACAGCACCCCTATCGAATGATCAGCACAAAAACACAAAACCTGCAAAACGGCTCCTTTATGAGCCACCACGACTTAGAAGTCAATGATATAAATGCTTTACAAAAATCAATGAAATGTTTGAAATGTATAAGTGAATAAAAAAAACTTCGTAATACAATAATTACATATCAATAACACGATTTATGAGTCTTTATGTATACTACGTGAAATGGTTTAGAGACCACGTGAGAGACTCATGTGATCAGTACTGTAATGGCGTTTGTATATCAATCTGTGTTAAGGCTTGACTTCTAAAACAAAATTCAAAGAAGTTAGTTGCATTTTTCGACGTAAACAGACTGATTGGAGAGCTTGTTAGTTTACTAACATTCTCGATCACAACTAAATCTCGAATAAAAAGTCTGCGTATTAGCTGCACGGTATAAACCTTCGATCGAACGACAACAACAACACCAGTTGCCGCTTGAATAAACAAGCAAGTGTATTCAAGACTTGTTCCTGATATGTAATAAATCACATACATCACGCTAGAATCACATAAATAACATCTGAAATGTGAACTAACGGATATATAATATTGGGGCGAGATGGCAAAGTAGGGGCGAGATGGTGGGGGCGAGATGGAATAGTGGGGGCGAGATGGCAATGGGGCGAGATGACCGGTAACGCACTACGTACTCTGAACAAAAGAAACGAAATAGTGAATACATGCCGTCATGCAAATAAGTACCTCTTTAAGAACCACAAACCGTTAGTCATACCTGAAGAGAGAGGACACTTGTCTTTTCGAAACAAGCTTGTAGCATATGTAGTATACAATTTTCATAAATTTTCTACTGTATGGCTTCACCAGTTGAGCATTATTGAAACTCTTTGGATACTAGTTATTTATTTATTTATATATTATATCATAATGTATCTTAATATGTACTTCTATTAACTTATCTAATAAAACCTATTTGAATTAAGCTATAAAATATAAAATAGTATTAATTACAGTATATAATGATGTTGATTTGTTATTTCCTAATCTTGTCCTTTACATTTTTCTTTAGAGTTGTGATTTGCATTCTCAACTCTTCAATTCATATTTTACATGCTCTAAAAGTTTTTGATTACTATAAATTTTGTACAAATTATGTATTTCCTTTTTTTGAGAGAGATTGGAAGTCCAATCAACCCATGAGTGATACCTTACACAAGTTGGCTTGGATTTTAATCATGAGTTACATGTTTGTTTTTTGTTTTTTAATTAAATGCGAGTAGTAGAAGTTGAAAGTTTCCCCATGCTAACTCTCAAGCGAAAGTCTGTTGACTTTGAACTCCGAGAACCATGTGTATGAAATCGGTCACTGTGATGGATTTTGCCAACATTCGGCATTGTGGTTTATGCTAGATTATTATCCAAAATATATGATCAAGGGAGGGGTGGGATAGGATAGGATCATGCCTGCTGGGAGATTATCACTATCACGTTATTAAAAATTCATCTTCTTTCTAATTTCAGCTGGAACAGATGGTGGTTAGTGTTGCAACAGTTTATTATTTTTATTACTTTGTTATTCATGCCCTGCTAAGTATGAAATATTATAGATAAATAAGGCTCTGTGTTTAAGGAAATAATTCATTTAGCAATAATCTGATTATAAATTGGCATATTTCTCATATTACATGTAAATTTGTAACAAACATCATAAGTAAATAAGGTGTGCGAACTTATAAGTAGGCTCAGTCTCCAGCCGTCAGGGGAGAGAGTATCGCGGGCGCACGAAATCCCGACGGCTGGAGACTGAGCCTAACTTAAAAGGTGATACCCTTTTTATGATGCAACGGTTTATATGCAGTCCAAGGGTAGAGATTTTGAAGTAAGAGCCCTTTTGAGCTCCAACATCTCGTATATTTAATTTTTTCATTTTACTATGATGGTCATCTCATATAATTTATCCCTAATTAAGTTATGGACATAATATAGTAACCTAGATGCCTCTTTTATCAATATACTATTATAAATATTGATTGGCTCTGTTTTACTTTGTTTAACAGATAGTGAAGCTTTAAGTGATGAAGCTATTGCTGGTATTTCAGTAGCAGTAATTGTAGTGGTCGTAGTCATTGTAGTCCTTGCCGTATGCATGTGGAAAAAGGTAAGCATTTATTTCAATATAAATTGTGAAAGTTTGATCATGATAAAATATATCACTGGGAATGTATCATTGGGATAATAATTACTCTCGTGCAGCTGTACTTTAACATCATAACTCTTCTCAGACAGTTAAAAGGTTTATATAGAGCGTGCACGCCACATAAGCATGAAACAATTCTTAACTAATTAGCGCCTAATAAGATTTAGTTATCAACTAACTAAGAATTTAGTGAGGCATAAACAAAGACCAAAGACAAAGTTTCCTTTCTGGCATTGTGTTCATGCCCCAGTGAATTCTTGGTTAGTTGATAACTTAATCTTTTTTTTTAATCTTTTTAGTTGTTGATAGTTAAGAATTCTTTCACGCTTTTTTGGCGTGCACTCTAATAAGGCCATGAGTCACTACTTTTTAGCATCACTTGGGGTGAATTCGTAAGGCTATTGTGTATCAATTCAAAGCTTAATATGAGTAGATTGAAAAGTATGTGGTGGCAAGATAGACGTGGTCACGCGAGGCTTTCACCTGTTCATCAATGTCAGGAATCATCTAGGAATCTAGACATAATAAATTAAAAGAAAAGGGAGCTGTTAGGAGCCAGGCAATAATGGTATTGGTTTCTATAATCTGTTGGGCTGACCTCTTCATCCAAACTTCTATCAATAATGTTATATACTGTAATTGACTATCAGGAGTTCAAACTCATCATCATGACTTAGATTTGCACAGGCATTGCACAGGCATTTTTTATTTGAAGCAAGCAAGTTGATTTATTGAGAGATTTCTGAGAATTTTAAATTATGAAAAGCACTCACTTGTAAACTCATTGCTTTATAGTACTTAATAGGCAATAAGCTTTGGCATGTAAATATTCCATTCCAAATTATAAAACTCATTAATATTCATAAGGCAAAACACAATAGAAATCATAGCCCATGAAGAGAGTTGTATATTACATACAGATTTCTTGTTCATTTGCATAAACTTTTACTCTGATTTTCTCAGTCAGATTGAATTTTTTTTCAAAAGTTTCTTTAAAACCTGAGCTAATTTTCCTTAACGTTTCATAAGTAATATACAATATTCGCGTGCGATCTGTATGAGGATTTAAAACAGCTCGCTTTCAGCTCGCTGTTTTAAATCCTCATACAGATCGCCTGCTCATATTGTATATATTACTTAAACACTCACATTATTAGTAAGGAAAATAGTGTCTCATAAGAAAGTCAAGTGAGCAGCAATCTGTTCGAGGCCCTGTTTTAAATCTTTAGCAGTAACTGTCCTTTTTTTATGTTCGTTGTCATATGAAAATAATAAGTGAACTGTAGAAATAGGAAAAGTTACAAATAGACATGAATCATAATTGACAAAAGAAAATCACTAGTTGAACTAAATTAATCTAATTTTGTATTTTGATCAATTCCTGTTTGTAAAATAAAGTGTCATTTTTCTAAATATAAATTTCCATATTTTTGCATGACATTGTTGCAATAGCAAAACTTAGAGAGAGAAAAACAAATTTTGTACTCTTACTAGTAAAAAGGAATTTTAATTTATAAAAATAGACAAAAAGAAGATAACTCACAGGCTGAAGGCTGGAAACATTCTGCAATTTAGTGTGTATATACACCATAAAACAATGCAATTAACATTCCTGACTGTTACATGTAGTCCTTTATTTAGATATAAATATATATGAAATAGTCCTCTCATGTTAGTATGATTAGCAAACAAATGCATCGGTCATTAGATTGGATGTTTGAATTAATAATTGTCAATTGAATAAAAGTAAGCAAGTGTAATTTAAATGATGTGGTAAGTACACTTTTTCATATTTCAGTCAAAAAACAATGGAAATAATGGCTCTAATAACAAGTCAGGCCCGTTGGAAATGGATAAACCACCAGGTGATGGTAATACCACCAGTCCTGAAGCATAATTGTTTATTTCAGGTACTCTTTTCTGCACACTGAATGCATGTACCATTATTGAAGTTGTTCTTTATTTTATTGTTAAGTCAAAGGGAATTTTTTTTCTTCGATTTGAGAATATATTGCTTTTAGCACTGTCTTTAAAGACGAGACTAATTAGTCGGGCTAGCCGAAGGCTAGGTCAATTTATGTTTTACCTTTTAGCCAATCTATCTGTGTCATGTCGCGTTTGGACCACCAGAAGTTAAGAATTTAATAATTGACTATTGGGTTAGCTGTGTTATTACATAACCGGAACCTATAGATGTACGAATATCGTTTGTAAATGTTAGATACTACTTGCGCTTTTATGTGATCAAAAAACTATAATTCGTTTACAAATGTGGTACCTGTGATCTCATCGGAATGCATCAGTGTAGGCGTCAGAAGTACGCGCATGTGCGGATTGCATAGAGCTTCGAGTAGTATCAATGACCTTTCTAGCGTTAGACAGTCTTGTGTGGGCAAAGATTTCAAGTTAGAACAAAATGAAACTTTGTTTCAATAACAAATCAATAACAAAAACTAAGGTGACTTTGATTATTTTATAGGCATCATTTATTTTGTAAAGTATTTATTTTCTTGGCATGAGAGGTCAATGAATTAAAAACGTATTAGATATCATGATATCACTTCGCGACATTTAGTGTACCACGTTTGATTTTATTAGTCAAAGTAAGGATTCATTTAAAACGTTCGCCTGAAAATAACGTTTTGGAGATTCTTCTGACTAGTAAGATGGTTCATGTACAAAACACTTCGATAGGTATACTTTAAGTAGGTTATTTTCTTTGTAACATTGCATTAAAAAACTTTGAATTAGTGGTGTTAATTACATGACAAGAAATTTTGCATATTTTGAACTAGACGCTCTTATTAGACCGTGACTCCGGCTATTTTGAAAAAAAAAATGTTTTTTTCTGGCTCGATATTTCTATCGTTTTGAAGTTTTTGCAGAGAGCAGTCAAAAAGAATATCGTATCGTGTGAATAAACAGTTTTGAACAGTACAATTAATTAAAAGTGAAAGCAGCGCATTCTTGCTTTCACTGTGTATTAGAAGTAAAAAAATATATATAATAATATATAATATATACAGCCTTTTGCAAAAATTATGAGAATTGTTGAAATATCTAAATATCATAATATCAAGTGCATGA